TTTTCCCAGTTGCAATGTATGGCTGTGAAAGTTGGACCATAAGAAAGGCTGAGCACCAAAGAATTGAGGCCTTTTGAACTCTGGTGCTGGAGAAGATTCCTGCGAGTCCCTTGAACTGCAAGGCCATCAAATGGGTCAGTCCTAGAGGAGATCAACCCTGACTGCTCTTTAGAAGGCCAGATCCTGAAGATGAAACTCAAATACTTTGGCCACCTAATGAGAAGGTGGAGAAGAGCCTAATGCTGGAAATGACTGAGGGCAAAAGAAGAACGGGACAGCAGAGAATGAGATGGCTGGATGGAGTCACCGAAGCAGTAGGCGTGAGCTTAAATGGACTCCAGAGGATGGTAGGGGACACGAAGGCCTGGAGGAACATTGTCCATGAGATCACAATGGGTCGGACACGACTTCGCAACTAACAACAACAAAGTCAAATCAAATCATAAGTCCCTGATTTATGACCGCAACTGAGCCCAAAGTGTCCATTGCTAAACAAGGCAGTTGTTAACGGAGCTTTGCCCCAAATCATTGCAGTTATTAAATGAACCACGTGGTCCTTAAGAAAACCTGGCTTCCCCCATTGACTTTGCATGTCAGAAGCCAGAAGCCAGAAGGTTACAAATGACAATCACGTGTCCCCAGGTCAGTACAGCTGTCATAATACATGCCAGTTGCCAAGTATCCAAATTTAGATCACGTGACAGTGAGGATGCTACAATGTTCATATAAGTGTGAAACATGGTCATAAGGCATTTGTCAGTGTTGTAACTTCAGACAGTAAACAAATGGTTGTAAGTTCAGGACTACCTTTATTATAAATAAGAATGCTGTGTGAATGGATGTCATGTATTTCCTTTAGTTTAACCTACCTGGAAGGATTGTTGTGAAGGTGCAAAAGGGGAACACACTGTTTCCCTGCGCTCCTTGGAGGGATGCAGAAGCCATCAACTCAAATCCACTTACTATTAGTACAATTTACAGGTAATGCTCTATTTACAACCCCAAAATTTCTGTTACTAAGCAAAACATTTGTTAAGTGAATTTTGCCCCATTTTACAACCTTTAAGTAAATCTGGCTTCCCTGTTGATTTTGGCTTGCCGGAAGGTCCCCAAAGGGGATCGCATGACCGCATCCCCTTAAAGTAAGCAAACTTGTCTATGGAGATTCTCAGTCAACCAGGTCATGGTTAACAGGAACAGAATAACAGAGTTGAAAGGGACCTTGGAGGTCTTCTAGTCCAACCCTCTGCCTAGGCAGGAAACCCGACACCACTTCAGACAAATGGTTATCTAATCTCTTCTTAAAAACCTCCAGTGTTGGGGAATTCACAACTTCTGGAGACAAGCTGTTCCACTGATTAATTGTTCTAACTGTCAGGCAATTTCTCCTCAGTTCTAGGTTGCTTCTCTCCTTGATTAGTTTCCACCCATTTGGTTGTCCCAAAGGTGCTTTTTTCAAGAGGCAACTGGACTTTCTGAGATTTTCTTTGGAGACGTTTCGCTTCTTCTCCAAGAACTTGCTTTCTGTCAGCAGGGATGAGATGGCTTTCCCCAACCCTTCCATCCCAACCAGTTTTTTGGTGGTTGTTGTTTTTTGTTTAAATCTTCGAGGTGTCCCTCAGAGGCGCTCCGCGGCCGCCCTCGGCGGACTGACGCCTGGATCCTCCTCGTTATACCCTCTTTCCTCCTCCGAGGCCCAGCGCGACGCGTGGCCCCGAACGCCGACTGCCCACAAGCCCGGGACATCGCTCCCCTTCCCCCCCCCCCACCACCACGCCACGAGCTCCTGCAGCCGGCGAGCGGGGAGGGGCCAGGCCTCCAGGCATCGGCTCGCCTGGTGCTTTGCATTGGCTGGGAGAGAAGGGCAGGGAGAGAGAAGAGCGGGGGGGTCCGCTCGCGCGCTCTTCCTCTTTAGACCCGCCTCCCTCTCTCCCCCCCGCCCCATTTTCCCAGCGCTGCCTCGTAGTCGGCCCGGTGAGTCTGCAACCGGCGTAGTCCGCCCGGTGGCCCGCCCTCCCTGCCCCCTTCCCTTGCCGCTGCCGAGCCGGAGGTGGAGACGCTGCTGCTGCCGCCGCCGCTGCCGCCGCCGCCGCCGTGCTGCTGCTACTGCTACTGCCTAACCGGGCCAGGCGGGGGCGGTTGCATGAGGTTGATGCTGCTGTGCTGCACTTGGAGGGACGAGCCCATGGGAGAGGACGAAGGTGGGTCGGGAGATTCCCCCTGCGCCTTCCCACCTCCCTCCCTCCCTCAACCGCCGGCCTGCTTCCTCGGGGAGGGAAGGAGGAGGGGGAAGCGATCTCTTGGACGCTGCAATCCTCCGCAGGTGACCTTGAGTCCCGCCGGGAACTGAGCTGCCTTGACTCGCAAGACGCGCGCGAGCAGGCAGGCATTCGCACGTGAAACTACTAGCGAGCTCTCGATGCGTTTATCCCCTAACCCCCCCCCCGCGCCTCCCCGCCTCCCCTGTGCCTTGCGGGTTGGAGGAGGAGGAGGGGGGTTTAAATGGGGACTTGGCAGGCCCATGACGGGAGAGATGCCCTTGGCACGTCGAAAGGGGACCTTGACGCAATCCCCCCCTCCTTTTTTTCGCCTACCGCCTCCCCGCACTCGACCCCCGGTTTCATTTGGACCCGGGCTCGCCGGCTCGAAACTAGTTGTTCCCGCAAAAACTAAAAAAAAAAAAAAAATCAAATTAAAAAAAATGGTAGGGGTCCCTCTGCGAGCAGGTATAGAATAGCGTTTTCTTCTCCCGTTCAAGCCACGGAATTCCTACTTCGGATACTTTCAAAAGAAAAGAAAAAGGCAATGAAGGGGGACGGAGCTGACAAAATACAAATCTATAGCCGTTTCAAATCCCTCCTCATCCCGTAGGTGCTGTCCAGGGTGCTGCCTGATCTTAGTCTCCCGATGCCATTTCCCTGCCTACCAAGAATAAATGACCCCTAGTTAGCTAAGGGACAGGAGGGGGGGAAATTCTTGAACGAGATGAATTAAGGGCGCGATTCTTCTTTCACTGCATGTTTTCAGCAGGAAATTTCAGTGGTATTATAACTTTGGAAATAATTCTCCCCTTTTAGACCTTTTTCCTCCTTGCACTGTGTACTGTAACTTATACTGTAACGTAAGAGCTGGTTTGAAATGATATTGTTAATAAGATGCAGATCTACAGCAGGACTTGGGGTTTCCCCCCCTCCCTTCAGCCCTTCTTCATTCTTCCCATCCTTTTGACCCCGTGCTAAAATAGGGGGCTTGGGGCAGGAATTAATGCCATTTGTAGAAAGAAAGTGAAACAACGAGAGGTAACTCTGTACATGCTTCGAGACCCTTTTGCTCTTGTGGTGGAGGATTGGATCCACTACCAAAACTGGATGGGAAGCTATTGTTTCCCATTTATGTGACTGGCAAAGACAAATAGAGATAGAGATCCCCTTGTTTCTTTGCAGCTGTCCTTCACCTTCTCATGCTAGAGGGTGAAGTGGGGGATGATGCTGTGGTTACAGAGATGGAAAATCAATCATTTTTCACCAGACATTGATCCAAAAGTCAGAGAAGCACCTTCTGCACAAGGCTGTGGCCGTGAAACCCTTTGGGACCGGCCAAATTGACTCTTCCCTCTGGCAGGCAACTGCTCTCATTTCATCCCTAAAGAAACAAGGAATATCTATCTATCTATCTATCTATCTATCTATCTATCTATCTATCTATCTATCTATCTATCTATCTATCTCATGTTGACTCAG